CATGGGCTGCTCACTGAAAATGTTTGTTAAAGCTCCAGGTATTTTACAAACTAAATATAAGCAATCAGAAGTAACCATCACTGAATGCAACAAAATTAGCTCCCAGGTAACTATGTACAGGTAGTCCTCACTTAACAACTGCCCTGTTTAGCAACCATTTAAAGTTATGACAGCACTGAAAAAGTAACTTTATGAGCAGTCCTTTCACTTACAACTGTTGCAGCATTCCCACATGATCAAGATTCAAGTACTTCACAACTGGCAGCTATTTATGACTGTCGCAGCATCCCATGGCCACGTGATTGCCATTTGCACGTTTCACAGCTGGCTTCCAACAAACAGAGTCAATGGAGAAGCCAGCAGTAAAACTGCAGTTGCAGTCACATGTTGCTGTTCCCAATTGTGATCGTTAAGTGAGGACTACTTGTATACCCTTGCAGTTCTGCCCCATGAACATATTAATTCATAACATATTGTGGGGAGGAGATATATAAACAGAAACAAATTATCTTGGGGGAATCCACACTCTCCATCAACATCTGGCCAAATCTAGTGCTCATTCTACTGATAGTCTTATGAATGTTTCCTTACAGTAATATTGATTTCAAACTATTTTGAAGCTTCTTTGTTTTCTAGCAAGAATTTTAGGAAACGTATTTACTGGTATTACTCCAATTTCTTTTTAAAAAATCTAATAGTATCTACCTCTTCCTAGCTTTGCTTTTACTTTATTAATCTTTGCTTGTGCATATATGCTTTTTTTCTTTCTTTCTCATTTTATATATTCTGCCAACAGCAAAAATCTCTTGACTGTAGCTGTTAATATCCTTAATAAAGTAGTGTTTAGGTAATTGATCCAGCCCTGGAATTGAAAGAGATTAATAGTAACAATAGACAATCTGTTCACAATTTATTCTGCATATATTGTCTTACCTAGCTAGCAAAATTGTCGATATTGTTGAACCAAATAGAATAGCAATACAAAAAAAAAAAAAATAGAATGTAGCTGCTGTGGGAAGCATTCAGTGTATATCAACTAATAACCAAATGTGCTTGGTAAAGAATAAATAATAAGACTGTTTAATAAGATACTTTCCCTTTGCTCCTAACAGTTGTTGCAGAACCTCAGTTATGGAGAAAAAATGACCATATTATTGGTTTACAATGGATCATCTATGCTAGAATCAAGCAAGTGGGACTTAAAAGCTTTCTGTAGAAGGAGACAGAGATTTCAACCATGACTCAGCAGCAAATATGTTTTCCTTTTTGAAATTGAAAAGAAATGTAATTGGAGAAAAGTCAAGAATGAATTTATTTCTTAAAAGCACAATTACTCTCTTGTAAAAGTGATTGATAGCCAGTGTTTTATAAGATTAAAATATTAACTTTTTCTTTTATGCTCATTTTTCTCTGAAGAACTGTAGATATCAGTTTGGATAAATTGAAAGAATATATTTTCTTATCAGTGATCAGTTGTTTTAAGTGAATTTGAGAAAGAAATGTTCTTCCAGTTGTTCACAACTTGGAAGCTTTGATATAATTACATTTGTTTTAATATGTCTTATAAATGTTATAATATAGCTTTTGGATTAACTGGTAAACTGGTAAAGGTTTTACCAGTTCAGCAAGGAAGTTTAACAGTTGTCACTGTTCCCAGTTGTGAACTCAGCTGTTTAAATGTGTTCTGCATAACTATGGGATACTGGACTATGAAAAGTAGTCTTCCCAAATGCTGCTAAATTATAATCTTAATTGTGTTCCAGAAGACTAAAATAATTTCAGGCATTTCTGAAATATATAAAATATGCAGTGTCTTTTTATCTTAATCTTAAGATGCAACCATTTGCTTGACTGGTAATTTTATACAAGGTACCATTCTTACAACATGAGACTTACTCCATATTTCCATATTTTTGTCTTTTTTATAAGGGAAAATGCCAAATCTCTT